GTGCAGACCGTAAATTCTATTCGGGATCAGCCAATTACGATTTGTTCCAGATACGTGGATTGGATTCTAAATATATTAAAGTTTGGTCAATACAGTTAAATTTTCATTATGTAACGAAGAATGAATCGACCTGTGAAATTATAACAGAAACGATATACGTCCAGATATATCCAGTTTGACATACATTTACTTTTTCTCAAGTAAAACTGTAATAATACAACTCGGCGACTAATCACCGATCGTCGAGATAACGCGACACGGAGTCGCTACTTGGTCCCACTGTCCTCCTAAGAACGAAAAATCTTCGACGTCTGGATTCAAGCGGGGAAGAAAGGGCAGGCAGGAAGAGGGGAGCGACCGACGTATGTACATATATATAATTGCACATTCACTGTACCCACTGCAGCAGTTGCGGCGGTTTAAAGCTGATGTCGAGCCGATAGGTCGTCTCGCAGCTCAGCTTCACCGTCTTCAGCTGCCGGAACCTGGCGGACGTTTCCATCTTGCAGAAGACCGGCCCGGCGCCCGGTTCCCTCCTGAGCGACAAGGTCACGCGAAAATGTCCATCGGCCCCCATTTAGCCGCCGCTCAGATACCCCATAATAATCGCCCGGAGTCTTGGTGCCCCAGAGAGGAAGAGAAAGAACGAAAAAAAAAAGGGGAATATCGAGTGGCCACGTATGCGGGAGACACGCGGTGTCACCGGCGCGGGGCGGCGGCGGTACCGCGCGACGGCGTCCTGTCCGACGCACCGCTATGTACTATCGGCGAGCCGCGCAAGAAGAGGAGGCGGTGCAACCTGCGCCGCGGGCGTCGCGACGCTCACTGATCCGCCGAACGGAGTTTGACGTTTGCGACGCCGGCCGGCTCGGCGGATTTCCTCCTTTTTTTTTCTCGTACCACCGTGTATCTTCGTCGGGAGATCTCAGACAGCCTTAAGCTCCTGGCAATGATAAACGAGGTGCATGGAGCTTTGTTCGAGAGGACGCGGAGATATTCTATCGCAGGATGATGTATTAGCGTGTATTTAGGCAATTCACGTGAGCAGAAAAGATAAATTTAAGCTGTCTCTTTCTCTCTCAAAATTTACAAGAAAGATAAATTTAAATTAACATGAAATAAATTTGCAAGGCAGATAAATTTAAATTAGCGCGTTAAAATTCGTAAGCGCATGCACGAATTAATAATTAATTTCTTTCGAGTGAACATCTCAATGCATCGATAGTTATCCAAATGTATGAACGAACAAATTCGACTTGCCTCTCCTAACTAAGTCCTAATGCCTTGTCATTTCCGATTTTCCGGTAAACAGGTCATCATCGATTGTGTCGCTTACGTTTACTTCAGAGAATATACATATGTATGACTAAAGAGTACATCAAAGTAATGCTTCTAATAGCTGCTGCTTATGTGGTGTGCAATTAGGCAGGACTGGGAAAAGGCTCGCGACTTTCCAGGTCTAGAAAAAGTATCATTGGCGGAATATTAATCAGAACAATATAAATATGTGGAAATATCATTTCATCGTAAATTAAATTCTCAATATTGAAAATTAAATTTACGATAAAAGTAATAAAATAATTAAATGTGCAAAATAAACGGTAATTTAATAAATTTGTCTGGATATAAAATAATTATTTAACAGCAGAGACTATGTGGTACTCTCCATAATTGGTCTTTTTATTATTTATATATCATAAAATAGATACGTCATAAAATATATCCGCGCGATTATAAGCATTCGTATTATAATTAATTCTGGCCGAAAGTGCGGAGTCATGTTCGCGCGCGCTGGAACAAGCCGAGGCAAGGGATGTACAATGATTGAATTCGAATATTTTCCAGAAGTAACATTAATACTGGTAAAAATACTGCTATAAAAATATAACCGGGTCAGCAAGACCACAGTGCTTCATATACGCGCGGAGATTCAAGATACGCGACATGCCTGTGTGTAAACCTTTTCTGGTTTAAAAAAGAAGTTAGAGCTTTAATTGAGGAAAGTGTTTCACCTAGCGGCCTTGACCGGCCGACTTAACTGCAAACAAAGATCGATTTGGCATGCAACTAAAACAGTTTACGATCCGACCTCTATCGGTGGTGACGCACAAGGGAGAAAGAGAAATATGTTTCCTTACATTAAGGGGCTCCCTCAATAGTTTTTCGTCGTAATCGCATAAAAGTCCCAGTCCCCACATACAGGCAAGACACGTCTGCGTACCCGGTCGCAGCAATAAATCAACTGTGTCAGATCTACTATAAACCAATCTTTCGCGTGATATCACAGTATCACGCAATTAAAGTAACGAACGAGCGTAATTAGCAGGGAGATGTATTTACATGTAATCTCCGATAGACCCGCATGAAATGACGATTTTTCTCGCGCACGAACACGGCTACGTACAGAAGCAATCACAGGATCGATACTCACTCGAGAAAACTGTGTCTCTAGAGTTCTCGTAACTCTAGTGTTCTCTTTATTGCGCCTACGTTTCGACCTCAAAGACGCGAGAGTGTGCAAAGTGTCAAAAAACGTCTCTTTACAGTCTCCAGTAAAATTAGAATAATTCCTACTTAATTGTACTGTTTCTTATACTCTAGGCTTCCATATATCTCTCCAATCCTGCGCTACGTTCATGATCAGATGCTGTCGTTTGATCTGTTTTTCGTCAGACTCGTCGACGACGGAAAGCGCGCTCAATGCCTGCCCGACCTTAATGGTCTGACCGATCTGCAGGCAGAATTGAAAGTCTCGCGGCGCCTCGAACAGAAGCACGATCGTTGATCCGAGTCTGAATTCGCCGAACAGCTCGCCTTTGGCGACACGCGCGCAACCTAAACACGCTTCCTTCCAATGCACGGTTTCCGGCCAGTGTACCGTATTGGTCGCCAATTCTCGGTCGCAGTAGACGCGTATGGAGCCCACGTTCGTTGCCCCGACCGCCGCGTAAGCCATGAAGCCGCCCGCCCATTCCCCGACGTACACAACGCGTTCGTTCAACGAGAACAAGTTGGGCAGGTATTTCAGCACCTTCGGATTGACGCTCAGCAACTTTCCTATAAGAGAAGGAACAGTAACAGTTTGCTTAGAAAAATAAAAAGAAAGGATTTCAATATACGGAGCTATAAATTTGCAGAGACGAGACACACCTGGAAAGTGCCGTCGGAATTTTATATTCCAATCGGTAGGACTGTGAAATCGATGATAATCACCCGGTGCCAAGTAAACGATCAATTGATACAGTCTATTATCTGGATTCTTCAGTAGGGAATTAACGTAATCGTCCTTCTGCATCGTTTCTTTTGCGATTTGGTTCAACGTGAAACCGTTCGGGTCGCCCAGGAACTGCCTGAGATCGTACGTCGCTCCTTTTACTTGCTCCACGCGGCAGGAAGTCACCGGTCCAAAATAAAGCACTTTACCGTCCGCAGGAGAAGTCTGAAGGAAATTTTTCCAGATGTTAACTCTCATAACAAGTTTAAATAGAAATATAATCAAAGTTTACAATATTTACCATATTTGCATTCTGAGCGATTGGTCTTGCATTTTGTTTGAGCTTTCTGACAAAAAATTCCACCAGATTCGGAAACGCGGACAGATCCAGCTCCACCTCGTCCAGGTCGGCGTGAAAGATGTTCGCGTAGAACCCGTAGAGCGTCGGCCTCAGGCCGACCGGCAGCTCGATGCTCGTCAGCCAGCCCCATATCCTGCTGGTCGTCCTCAACGGCAGGCAACAGTAGCACGTCGCCTACGGCGAGAGGACTTTACATTTCGACAACGTGACAGAACTTAACGCATAGATATCCGTCCATTACTATAACGTCATTCAGCAGTTCCGGCCTGTCGTCCACGTCAACGGGATACCCGTGCTTGTGCAGGTAGTTCCATTGCGTTGCTGCGAGCAGCGAGAAGCCGACTCCAGTTGGGACGCCGAGCCGCCACCATCGACTTGTATTCCTGACGAATCGCGCACTAACTTGACTCGAGACAGATCGCTCGGCAAGCCTCGCGGAGCATTTCGACGTCGCTCTCAGCGAAGAACGACAATATTGGCATCGCCTGGGAGAAGTCGATAGGTTATGTCGGGGCGCAGGATTGCAGGTTAAATTCTCGAGTTGCGATCAAACGATAGAGAAACGTACCTGACGAGGAGACCCAGTCTCCATAGATTATTCCTGATCATCCCGCAGCTTGTTTTATTTATTATTTAGCCTATAAATCATATGACGATAACGTTGCTGTTGCGGGCACGACCGCGTGCAAAGCCGGCTCCGAGTTTTGGCTGCATTCCGAAATTCACTATGTCAGCTGTCAGCAACTTTCAGTAACTATAGTATACGTGACGTAAAATATAGATTTGCAGTACTGACAGTGAATATCGGAATGCAGCCTAAATAATAAATGTGCGCGCACTTTCGAAGTACGACCTTTCGAATTTGGTAGCAGGTAGAATAAAATATTACAAGCTTTCGCTTGAATTAAGTAGAATATTTCACTGAATAAAGCGAATAATGAGATTATCGATAATGATGAATAATATCAAATCTTTCGGATTTTGTAGCGCTGGCTCGACGAGGAAATAATCCAAGGGAAGAAAGAGAAACGCGGCCTTGGACAATTTTGCGACTTCGCCGAAAATTGTCAGAGCGACCTCCAAATCATATTAATTGCCAAAACCGCCGCGGGTCCCGCTCATTAAAAAAGAAAGAGGACCGCTTCGAGCAGCTTGGCGTACATTGCTCCTAATTACGCGCAAACAGATTAACCGTCGCCAAATTACCGCTTACTCCAATGAAACGCGATGCACGCCGCGAGTGCGAAAGGGTTGAAGGACGCGGCATGGCGCGGCGCGCGCCGCTCACGCGCGTCCACCTGCCCGGCGTGCCCGCGTCGCGTCGCGTCGCCGCGCGCGCGTGTGCGTGACCGCTGGGTGTCTGCGTGTGTCCGCGACCGGCGGGCGGGCGGGCGCACACCGCACACCAGGAGGCGGGGGCGCGGTAACAGGTGGCTCCGCGTCGCGGCAGGTGAATCGGGCCAGCTCGGACTGGCTTTTTTTGTGCGCCTCGACCGACCACGGGTTCCCCCCGCTCGCGTTCTCCCACAGTAATCCCAGTTCTCCCATTGTTTTCGCGCCGCTTATCTCGGTCTCGCGCTCCCCCGTCCGCCGCTAGACCCACCCGCGAGAGGATCCGTACACCAGGTCGACCGGCGGAGCACCGTGTTCGCCGTCCCGACGACGCTGTCCACGTCGCGGCGAGGAATGACGTGTGCGCGGACGCGACGTTGCGGCCGAACGGCGACCTGAGGTGAATCAACGACGTCGTCCCCCGTCGGCGCCCCGAGGAGACGGGGAGGGTTTCCGCGAGGGTCACCCGTCGTATCCGCGCGTTGACGACGCGCCGTTCCCCCGACGGACGGACGTATGAAAGGTCGGAGCTGCGGTAAGATCAAGAGCGAGACAATGCCGCCGTCCTCGCACACCAACTGGACGAGGCCGTTGCTCAAGGGCGGACAGACGACGCAGATGATGCAGGCTGCCAGGCAGCAGCAGCAGCAGCAGCTGGCGACGGTGACGACGGCGACCACGGCGACGACGACGTCCTCGATGACCATCGGAGCCGCCGCCGGAGCGCAGAATCAAAATCTGGCGGAGCATCCCGCGACGCCGCTTGACAGGAGGATCAAGGTGGTCCTGGTGGGCGACGGCGCGGTCGGCAAGACCAGCCTGGTCGTCTCGTACTCCACCAACGGCTTCCCCGGGGAGTACGTGCCAACCGCGTTCGACAATTACAATGGTGTGTATATATAGTTTTGCATGACGCAGCCTTCAGGATTGTGATTCGCGGGTAACACCTTGTAGATATTGCGAAGCAACATGTGTATCTTGTTAGAATACAATTTTTAATATGCATGACAAACATAAGATATTTACTTTTGCTTTGTATCCTAACTGATCTTTTAATTGTAATTTTTTGTCTACATTATTTGACATTTCATTCCGAGCAAGTAGATAACAATGTATTGAAGTTAAATCGGTCCGACGGTACTAACATCTTTGTGATATATTTATCTAGTGGTCGTAAATGTCGATGGACAACCGCTGAACGTCCAGCTGTGCGATACAGCGGGCCAGGACGACTTTGACCCCCTGAGATCGTTGTGCTATCCCGAGACAGATGTGTTCCTAGTTTGCTTCAGCGTTGTATGCCCCTCATCTTATCACAGTGTGGCTTCCAGATGGATCAATGAAGTGCGAAAATACTGTCCCAATGCCCCAATCATTTTGGTACGATATCCAGAGTTCTGAATTATTTTTAAATAGAATTGAATATTTTTCTAATACAATTAAATTTATCTTAATATACTACCAATATCGCAATAATGATATTACAAACGATACAATTATATACTATAATTTGTATTATTTTAAA